CCAACCTAATATTTCACACAATGATGGTGTACCCTGCCTGTATACCTTTTCATAGATAGGAACTATAAGCAACAGTTCCGCATTCTGATTAATCGCACATAGAGGCCTATACGAAGAAACTGGAATCCTTGGGCCTCTAGCCCACAGCACCTTGAATAAATTATAAGCTTTTCTAGAACCTTTTGCCATCAGCAATTTGTAATGCCAACTAAAATTTAATTTGTACTTGTAATGGTAGCCGAGATCACGGCCTTGAAGGAATTAAGCGTTACATTTTCCACAAAATGCATAGGTTCTCAAGCGTGTAAACGCACGCATCTGTATAACATATGTCATCCCGCGAATAAAAAGGCTATTGTTTTTGGACCACTCAAGAATCTAACTAATCGCAAGTTTAAACGACAAATCAGATTGAGCGACAAGTCAGAACAACATGACATGCTGTAAAGCAGGACTCCACCAGAATACAATAAAAATAGATGGGGTTATAGGATTGTGTCGGAACCAGGGCATTGTTGTGATCGTCACAACGGAGGGGTCGTATTTGACCGCGAGGGAGGGGGATCGTATTTGGTCTGAGAAAAAATTTTTTTGATAGTTGATTTCTCTTGTTTCACGGACGCTAGCTATAAGAGGGGAGGGTCGTATTTGGTCGTTGTTGGGAGAGGGACTGCCAAAGATCTATACAACTACTATTTCCGATAGTTGAAAATGATAGTTGAAATCCTGACGACCCCCTTCCCCCCCCCCCTCCCCGCTCGCTCGACAGCAAAGTTTCGGGGAAAAACCAGAAATTTTTCGGGAAGTTTCGGAAAAACTGGTAAGAGGGTGGGGCAGATCTGAAAAATTTTCCTGTTCCACATCGCTATACCCTCCCTCCCCCGGTGCGGTGCGAAACATCTTGGCTGCAAAAGTAAGAAACAAAACTGGAAATTGTTATCTGAGGAAAGAATGGAAAAAGTGTAGTAAGCTGAAAATCTAGGATCTTAGGGAAACTGGTAAGTAGCAAGGGTGGGAGGTTCCGTACTGAGGAAAGGAATTAGGGAGTGTCGTGATTTTCAGGAAACGATCACAACGCGGTGAGGCGTGCCCTGGTCGAACTTTTGTCAGCACGCCTGCACCAGAAAACACTGCGAGGAAGCGGCAAGGCTGATAGAGCACGTATCGTGAACCGCTCCCCCCGTGACCAGCCCACCAGAATAATTCGGTAATTGAACAGCTAATAAAAAATGATAACTATTGGGGAGGGGGGGGGAGGAATTTGAGAGAAACTCTCGGTGTCACTTCTACTCTTGAACAACGAAAGAAAAATAAATCACCGAGGAGTAGAAAGAACATTATGACAATCATATATCGAAACTATAAAAAGGGCTTTTACGTCTCTGGGAAATCCTAACTATTAGATGCCATCGACAATAATTCTCAGCTGAGAAAAAAAAAGAGAAGGGCGCATGGCCACGTAAGCACGTTGGTAGACGGAACATCATCTTCGGCAAAAATACAAAAAATAGACAAAGTACATAAAAATAGATAAAAAATCAAGTAGAACAACAGACGGATAGCAGAAAAAATATATTAGAGGGAATAGAAGCGTAAAACGAAATAAGGATTCTAGTCTCACTAAGCGTTGTGACAGTCAAGAAAAGCCGAAAGTGAAATGTTGATCCAGAGAGGGAGGCGGAAGTAAAGCGTGGCAGAAGTACATGACCTGAACTCAACGGGGAATGCCCTCGTCAGTCGGTAGAGGTAGATTCTGCTCTAGTCGTATGGGCGGGGACAGCCAAGTAAGACCGTGTCTTTCACACACTGCTCAGTTGCTACCTACCGAACTGCACTCACGAGTGAGTGCTAATCCACAGCATCTAAACGCACTTCTGCAGCCCGCTCAACGCCCACTATGGAAGCCGGAAGCTAAGGATATAGTCAGAAAAGTGGAAGCAATTAGTCAAGGGAGGCGGGAGAGTTATCCCCCCCCCCTCAGAGAAAAAACCCTTCAGAGAAAAGACACCCCACAACAATTTACCACCGAGGAATGCACCTTCAGGACGCGCAAAAGGGACCATTTTAAAGGCCATAGAAACTTGCTAAAACTTTGCAACAGGAGAATATAGCGCTCCATGGAGCCATAAAGCTAGGGATATTTCAGGAAATGATGTCATATGGTAATCAAGGGAGACCGGAAGGATTATTTACCAGTAAAAAAGCAAATCCAATAGCAGCCGCGGCGGTACTCACTATAACCATTTCATTCTGAGCCATGGGGTAGGAATAGAATGAGCAACAAAGCTGAAGCGGATCGTATTACTGAAGCCTAACGACCAGCTCCTACGCTTGCAACTGCAGCCATCTGCAACAGCAGCAGGAAGTCTGAGCTCGTTCAAAGACGAAAAATTATTAGTCAGCAGCAGCGCGGCGTGGTTGCTCTTTGAGTCCAGCGCGGTCAACGACTAACACAACGCTCAGATATTCGTGGAAAAGGACAAAAGAATGGAATGGAAGCGGAACAGACAGCTGAACACGCCGTCCGTTGGATAGAGGGGGTATTACTGGAAACGAATGGTTGAAGACAGCAATCTCCCGTTGTAAACATGCCAGCTGGGAAACTTGTTCGTGACCGTGTTGACAACGCGATACTGGTCGTCACACAGATGCTATGTGGCGGGGACACCTGGGTGAAACGGCATCTGTTCTCATGTGCACTTACTTTTCAATGATGTGGTAGTTTCCGTTAGACTGACAACTGCTTCACGATATTTGCTTTGAAAACGTCCACTCAACACGCGACAAACTTCTTCGGCAACGATCTGTAATGGAAACATTTTGAAGGGTTGAAATTAGCAGGTCTAGGGAAAACTAGGGGTTTTGGTATTCTGCTGATTGCCGGGCTCTCAGGAAAAGCCAAGCACCTGTTATCCACTCAGCGGTAAGTTTGAATGGGGTCAGAATTTTCATATTTTCCCTTTTTTTGGGGTCAAAGGGTCAACAAGCGATGAGGTTGTGCCAGTTAACTTCTCAGAGAAGGGTTGAACAAAGGAAGAAACTGCCGTCACTAAGGCTTTCTTTCTTGCAACTGATCACGATAACTGGAAAGTGGCTGGGAGTCAGACACGTCTCATCGCAGAGAAAATTTTCGGAGAATACGATTCCCCGTTCCCCCTTGAGCCCAAATTTCCTCCTCTGGTACGTC